CTTAAGGAAGGGCCTCTATTCTTTCCTTTTCTAGCTGAAATTGTTCCTTGAATGTTGCCTTTCTTTTAGGCAAGCTGTTCTTTAATTATCTATCATGGACCACAGCCCGAGAAGTTCCTGTCTCTGTATTTGCAGTGTCTGTGCACCAGTCAAGCCACAGCAACCTCTTTCTAAAGACAATTCAACGTAAGACCAACCCAGTATCTGGATTGTTTGCTATCATTGGTCCCACCTGATCGTTTGATCTCAGAGAGTTGCTTTTTAATTCAGAATCACAGCTAGTTCACTGTCAAAATTCAAGCTCATCATAAGCTCACTTGTCAATAATTTCCTTTGATTTCTCTACAAGAAATCCCACCACACCCACCCACAGTTCACTTAATCCTCTCATGTGCATGTCCACGGTGAGTCACAGCTCTGGTCTTCACTCTCGTGGAGTTTATTCAATGGCCCAAGCTGCATCAAGACAGCCCCAATGGAGTGAACAAGTCTACCACCGACATTAGAAGGAATAGTCGCCATTTGTAAAATTTGAATATTTCAGAACATTAGGATTCTTGACTTACTCCCACTTGAGCTCATTTTTGAACCCAGAGTTAAGGTTCTGTTCTCGCAATCCCATAAACATGCAAGCTAGGCAGCCAAAGCTCTGTCCTTTCACAATGGCATGCTATTCCAAACAGGCTGTGCCTGTTTTCTTTATCTCACTTCCATAATTTGAAGTTATTGCAATGAAGTAATACTGTAATCATACTTTACAAGGTCAACCAGCGTAGAAAAGAGCTCACATTTAAGCATACCACACGCTTGAAGACTCTGAAGCTGACCTGGTATAGTACCCTTTATCTCTAGTCTTCTTGTCTCATTCCTGACAATAATAGTAATAAAGACTAAAGAACAATAGCAATTATTATTATTGGTATTAGTATTTACTTAGGATGTTCATTTTGATTGACCAAAATAGTTCCTATACCATTGAATGCTATATTACTTGTTTACTTTACTATGGTTGCTCAGTGAAGTACAAAGACACTGTGATAAAAAAAATACCAGCCACTGAACACTCCCATCAAGGGATCATAGAAAAGACACATCTCTCTCTAATTACTTGCTCCTTTGCTTACGCCTAACCAGGGAACGAAAGCATCAGTAAGGGCCCCAAGGCTCTAGAGCAGTGCTGTCCAATACAACATGTGATGAAGGGTATGTTCTATATGTGCACTGGCCAATACAGTGTGGCTACTGTGTCCTTAAAGTGTGACTATTGCAACAGTGGAACTCAAGTTTTAGCTGTAGAAATTTTAATTAGTTCTAATTTAAATGTTTAGCCACCGCAGATAACCCTATCACCTCAAGGAGTTTTTGCTTCATTCCTTTAGACCTGAGTCTGAGCATTCTCGAAATTCTGTTTATGATCAAAGCACCAGAGAATGTCTGTAGAAAATATGTCAGCTCCGACTGAGGGAGACCTTTTCTACATCGTTGTGGCTCCAGAGAAAAGGCAAAGGGGCTTCTCAAAGAACGTGGGGCAGTTTCCTCTACAACCGCCAGGGGTCACTGAGTTGAGACAGGGTTCCCAGGGGCCGGTATGAACACACTCCAGGCAGCTAAGCCACAGCAACGGGCTAAAAAAAGAAATTCAGAGTGGCTTGAAAGACTATCTTGAAAAAACAAAAACAGTGGAATGAAACCAGTGGGTGTCTTGTCAGCCTTAAGCAACCATTACCGCTAGCCAAAAAACAGAACTAACTGCTTACTTAAAAGGAAAAAGAAAAGGGAAAAAAAAGAAAACATGAGAAAACAACTAAATCAGAAAATATTTAAGGAATGTAAGTATTTTCCACAGACACTTGTGATCAAATTGCCTGTGTAGGATATTTCAACATGGTTATTTCCTCTCGACTTTCCTCGCTTCTCTTTAGCCCCGCTCCCTCTACACTTGCACCACCTTTCTTAAATTTAATTACTTCTGTTTACCTCCCTAATGAGGGGTGAAAGCATGTGGCACGCTTCTTGTAAGGAGCAGAACACTCTCCTGTTTGTGGAACGGCCAAGGACGGGTGACACCGCCAGCCTCAGGTTGACCTGGGAGGCGCCACCACTCTGAACCCATTAGCGTTTGCCCTGCCCCTAACCGAGCACAGCTGTTTCCTTTCTCCCAACTGCACCCCTCAGGGCCCCGATTTGTGAAGAAGAAAGGACCACCCTGAACAGAAAGGGCTTTCTCTCCTCTCCTGCTTAATGCCCAATATCGAGTTTTGTAAGGAGAAGGAAAATGGGAAATACAGAAAACGGTTTTTAAAATCATCATCAGATGGAACGAAGGGCTCTCAGAACAATACTAGGCTTTTGTTTCCTGGAGGCAGGTTACAAGTGCCACTTTTCCCAACTTCAGGGATTCCTCTGGAGGAGGAAAATAATTATTTTCCTTCTTGGTATCTTAAGGGAGAAACAACATTAGATCTAGCAGTTCCTGATGGCCCTCATTTTCTCTCTGTCCCCATCCATTCAGCCAAAGGTTGGAATTCTGCCTGCTTTGTGAGCTCGCTCTGACAAGCCCTCCCACACCGCGGGGTGCAATGAATCAACTGGAATGAGGACAAAGACTAGAATTCCCAACCAGTAGCAAGGGTCAACTGATAGGGCATTCAGGTGAGGACAGGACCGAGGAGGATGTGGTGGAGGCAAACAGGCAAAGGGACAGAGGTACAGGCCGGGGTCACAGGGAGGAAACTTAAGATCTTCCAGAACTGTCACTTGCTAATTGGTGGCCTTGTAGCCTGGGCAGGGCTGGCCTCAGACACTTTCAGAGAAAATTTGCTTAGAAGAGTACAAGGGAGGAGGCCAGAGTTCTTAGAAAGAACATGAAGAGAGATATTGAATAAGAGCCAGTGCATCTCCCCACCGCCTTTATTCAAAGTGCCTCTGCCGGGCCGAGCCCGTGGCGCACTCGGGAGAGTGCAGCGCTGGGAGTGCAGCAGTGCTCCCGCCACGGGTTCGGATCCTATATAGGGATGACTGGTGCGTTCACAGCGCTCACTGGCTGAGCGCGGTGCGGCCGGTCTCAAAAAGGACAAAACAAACAAATAAAAAAAAAACAAAGTGCCTCTGCCAAGCTGCCCGTCTGCACACACCTCACAGACACACACACCCATGCATAGAAACCACAAACCCACACTCACCTAGACACCATGTATACACACGCATGCACACAACCCACCAACCCTCTTCACATTCAGATAAAAGGTGGGGGTTGGGTAAAACCAATTAATTGGACCCAGTCTCAAAGGAGAGGAAATGAAATGAAAAATCTAGGCTGGGTTATAAAAATAAGTATTTTTTTCCAACATGCAGGAGGCTCATTATATTAATTAAACATTATTGCAGTGAACAAGTGGGGGGAGGGTGATTAAGGCTTGGACTGGGGTAAGTGTTCGCTCCTGCTGCCTGAGGCCCTGGTGATCTTCAGATATTAATCTCTCCGAGCACTCAACTACTGAAGAGATAAACACTTGAAATATGAAAATGTTTTTCTCCAGAGCAGATGCTGTGACCCTCTGGGAAAGCAGTGCAGGCTGTGTCAGGAGGCTGGCCTGAAGTGCTCTCCTAGTGTCTGTCCCACCGCTGTTTCCTGGGGACAAGGGGCACAGACAGTAGTTGGGGTGAGGGGCAGGAGAGCAGCTCTGGGGAGGCCTGCAGTAGGGGAGGCCCCGTCCCCCTTTTATTTTCTCGTCTTTCCCCCTTGTACCCTGGCAACTTTTGATCTACCAAATTTCTGGAATTAACCCCTTTCCTCTCAAATGATTATGGAGGTGTAAGGTCCAGGCCAGAGGTGTAGGAAAATTGGGAGCTACTGTGTGGTGTGCTGGAGCCAACTTGTACCAGCTTGTGAGAAACACTTTAAAAATTTTCTGGAATTTTGCAAGCCAGTTGTTAAATATAATCATTGTTAAACATTAAATCATATAAAGTTAAAACTCAATAAATTATATTAAAAACCAAAGGTAATGAATACTCAAACTCAACACTTCTTCGTTATTTTAATATATTTTTCCCAGTATCTATGCTCTTGCGATTATTTGTAGCTAGTGTATCTGCAGGATGGAAAACCCCCCACATAGTGCCTTATTACTGCACTGCCCAACTCCACCTCCAACTTTGTTATGTTGGTAGCTTGAATTGAACCATGGTAAGAATATTTATACCACTGAAAGTGGCAAACATTATAAAACAGGTTTGGTTGTTTACCAATCCCTGCAAACCTGTTGTTAAACATTTACCAAAACGCCACTGTTGAAGGAAGTGACAGTGGAGACAGAAGACAACTCTTGCTTCCATTCCACTGTTTAGAAGGGCTATGGGCAACACTTCTCTACTGGAAGTCCCAGGAGGCTTCTGCACGCTGGCTCTCTGAACTAAAAGGGTGGGCCCAACAGTCTTTCAAGGGCTGGCAGCACCACTCTTGCAGAAGCCAAGTGCCGGCGGCTCTGCTAGACACCCGTGGGTGTGGCAGGATTTCAGCCCCTCGATTTGGTTTGCTGCAGAAATGATGACACCCTCAGAGAAGTATCAGTCAGACTCAAGGCCACTGGTTACCCAATGAGCCATTTTAGGAACAATACCCAGCTCCAAGTTGACAAGAGGCTCTGTGATGGTGACAGCCAGAGCTGGCTAGGGGAACAAGAGGACATTGACTCGCCCCATCTCCTAGGACCTCTCAATTGCTCCTTCTTTCTTAATCTGCTTTCTTTTTTCTTGGCCTCCCTCTCTCCTGTCCTGCTTCCAGGCTGTGCTGTAATCACAAGAGAGGGCTGGGAACCACCAACTGGCTTTTCTGTGAGGTGACGTCTTGAGCAAAGACTGTGGTGGTTTGTGGGCAAAGAACAGAGGATTGCTGTGCGGTGGGAAGCTATGAAGCTTGGAAGGGAGTCTGGGCTGAGGAACAAGGAGCAGGCTAGTCTTAGCTCTTCTTTCTCTTAACTCCTTCGCAGCTGGCTTACCTGGAAACGTCTGGTCGTTCGGGCTGGAGCTGCTGGTCCAGGTGCTTCTGAGCCACTTGGCATGATCGTATATCCAACCGCAGGGCTCCTCAGGGAAATCAAAGTTGCAATTGAATCCTGAAGGGAGCTGCAAATCTTTGTCTAAAAGGGAGGAAAAAATAACTCAAAGGAAGGCAAATGAAACAGGTTCAGAGAACAGCCACAGTGGTGCTGTTTAAATGGCTGGCGAGGCCAAAGTGGAGAGCAGAGAAAGAAGTGGCCCCCTCTGCTTATTCATTCAACTCATCTTGGCGATCGCCGGCTTTTGGGTCAGCCTTTGGTCTCATCCTTCCCAGGCATGAAAGCCAAGTCTGCCAGTGGTTTCCATAGTAAGCAATTATAAATGAGGCCACCAAATGGCTTCAGGCTTTAATCAGCTTCTGCTGTCCACCTCGGAGAGCCGACAAATGTGAAAATTGCAGTTTCCTCAATGCCAGAGAAGAATGTCTCCCCAGTGCCTCAGTGGAAGGCTGGCTCCCAAAAAAAGTGTTATCTCATCTCCTGCCAACCTGGCTCTCAGAAGTGATGGAGCAACCCATTAGCATCCAGAGAGGCCGAAATGCCTGGGAGGTTCTGGCCCATGAGGAGCAAGTGGCCTCAGAAACAAGGAAGGCTTGTTTGCTCCCCTTCACCTCTTTGTGATACGTCTCTTATTTCAGAGGACGGGGACAGTTGCCATCTCCATGGGGAGGTATTACCAGGCGGGGAATTTGGCAGGTTAGGGGCAAAAGGAAGGGGCCAGACCAGCCGGCTGCCCAGCCCAGTGCTGATCAGGAGGAAAAGTAATTCACATTTGTGCTGAGGCCTCGAAGGCCAGGGCCTCATGGAAATCTGAGAAGTGACTACACAATGGCCTGTCCCATCTGCATTGGTGGTTCACCTGCCTAAGCCAGAAGACTGAATCAAGGTAGTTTCTTTGGAGATTCCATCCAGCTCCAAAAACCCAGTATGAGCTGGTGCCAAATATGTGAGTAAGTAAGGGTGGCGTGGAGGTGGAGAAAGAGAGGAAACAGGAACCCAAATTTGGATGCATGCTGGCAGTGGCTGCGGAGACAGCGGAAAAGCACTGGCCGATGCTGGTGGCAGAGGAGGAAGTGGGGTCTTTGGCCTTCTCACTTCCCTTCCCAGGGTTCCCAAAGAGGAATTTCCGTGGGGAAGGCTTAGAATGCAGGTTAAGAAGTCTAAAGGGAACAACAGACTAACAGAAACAAATTGCTCAGCAAGAGGGTGAGGGGGGCTCACCTCTAGGAGGACAGGGCAGTGCTGACCTTGGAGGCAGGAGGCAGACTGCCACCAGACCCTGTTTGTACCCCCTTCCCAATAGAGAATAGTTAATGTTTGCCTATCCCCGGCCAAAGTCAGTGTGAGTGGAGAAGGAACACATGGAATCTATTACAGAAGCATCAACCTGTGGCTTGGAAAAGCCAGCCCTTAGCCTTCGCCATCCCCTTCTGCTGACAATTTCTGAATTTCTATTTTTCCATTCAAAATATGGGGTAATTCAATATACCATCATTCCTCTCTAATGTTTACATGCATACTGTATCCCAGGAACCAAATTCCACAAAAAGATCTTTTGCAGAAAAAGAGAAGAGAGGAACCATCAAAGAAACCTCAAATGAAACATACTACCGTAAACAGGAAAATTATATTAAAAATAAACTGAAATTTTGCAGCAAAATTTCCTAAATTTCCTTTGGATTGTCATTTAGATAGAACTCCCACCCCCTGTCCCCCAACAGGCTAGCTCTGCGAACCCAATACCTTATATTAACTCCCTATGCATTCCACTTTTGGCTCTCAAGCTATCTTAAACATGTCTCGGAAGATTCTCCAAGACTTCCCCATCTCTTCATAAAGCAAAAACAAGTTCATTAAAATGTCAGAATTCTGTATTCAACTAATCCTGACCAATAGTGTCCCCCACCCACACAATACGCAAAAGCACATTCCCAAAAGCATGTGCATTGAATTATCATTTTTCAGTCATACAACTTCAGCATTTAGTTTTGGCTTTTCTCCCACTCTTCTTTGTAGCCATTTCTTGGAGCCGTCCCCTCCATTCGCACAGTTCCTCCTACTGTCAAAAGGCTGGGTGTGCAGGTTCCACGGACTTCGCCATCTATGTCTTTATGTCTCTGTCACTTCTCAAGTCTCTTCGCCAATCTTCCCTCATTTTGATTAATAAGCATTTAGTAATGATCAATAATTTACTCTAAATTGAGGCTGTCAAGCTTAAAATTCTAGCCCCAAATGCCAGGTGTTTCACAATTTGTGGTTTATTAGGAACGTCCTCATACTTGGTGACCTTAACAGTATGATTTAAAATGCAACTTACTTTTGGGCTCTGCCAATTATTATTTTTAATCTAACTTGGATATGCTTCAAAGATAAAATGAAAGGAAGACAGATCTCCCATGTGAGGAGACTGATCCAAAACTGCGGAGCCCCTGAGTTTTGCAGGAATAGCTCAGGATGCCTTTTCACTCTTCTGCTGTTGTCTCTGATCTGCACTCAAGTCATAGAAAACGTGATACACTATCTTAGAGTCATCGTGGTTATACTTCCTCAAATCAGTGGCGGTGGAAGACACAGGGAGATGCAAGTAAGCCATGGTTAACTGCTGAATTAACCCTACTGTCGTGCTCCGTGGACCAAATCACCCAGGTGATTGCCAGATCTTCACTTGACTGTACCATGGAGACACAGCTTAACAGGAACAACTATCATAGCTGTGAATTGTAAGGATGAGAATGGCTTTCCTTTAACAGGAGAAGCAAGGTGGTAAGGACTTAACCGTGAGCCTTCTCAAAGGAGGAGTTCTCTTTGGAGGCACCTCTATCTCAGCTGATGACCAGTAGGTTCACACCCATAGGGCTGTAGTAGTTGTTACAATATCTGAATGCTTCTAGATTGGTTGTAAATTGCCACTCCCCCAGCCCCTAAGTACCCATACCTCCCTGACTCCTTCCCTGAGACCCCCTGGACCTCTGACCCAGGGGTCTCCAGGTACCTGCCCAGCCACAGGCCAGGCCCCACTCCGACTGGTCGGCACCATGCCATCCCAGATGCAATATGACTCTCAACCCGATTCTTACCATCCTCAAAGCTACAGTTCTCCCCACACTCCGTGGCCTCCTCGTCAATGGGATATGGGGTGGTGGTCTCTTCACTCTTCATGGTGGGTCCCAGCGTCTCTACTGTGGGCTTCGAGTCTGTGTAAAGGCAAGGGAAGAGAATGCTGCAGCAGCCTGCTGCAACGCAGCAGGAGAAAGATGCCAAAACCTAAGCTTCCTCTCTAAGTGTGGGGTTTTAGAGAAGGAAAACAAAGATACACATGTGTGGCACACAACCCCCAAGTCACCTCTGTGTGCCATCAATGGAGTCAGGAGCATTGCGTGTGTTGAATGAGCGTTGTCTGAACTGCAAAAACAATGACAGAGGCACAGACACAAACCCATGCTCTTTACTCTGCAGTGGAGGCCTTGAGGCCAGCACAGAAGTCCACGCCCCAGGGCAGGTTAAACCACATTCCGGGTATTCCGTTTAAGACAGAAGCATGAGTAACACACATACAGAAAGTGAATGATGCCCTCCAAAACTGGGTTGAAAATTCTTGGTGCTTAATGGAGTGAGCTTCTGTTAGGTGGGAAATGCGTCGTGTACTGCCCCATGAATGGCTGCGGGCGTGCCTTCCCTGCCACACCAGCCTTCACCTGGAACAACTTTCTCTTTACAGCCTTCTCTGAGTCAGATGGAACTTTTCTGAACCAAAGCCACCCTATAAGACCTTCTGACCTATGGGGCCTACCTATAATAACATCGTCAGAAGCACTATCCCCAAAGCCATAAGCAGAGCCCAACTGCTTGGAAAGCATGATCCCAGACATTGTCTTTGTGTTTGCACAAAACTGGATGGACTTACATGGATTTAAAGGGACTCAAACTATACTTGGTGAAAGTAATTCGGGGCTGTGCCTTTAGGTCAGGGTGCGGCAAATTCAAATGCTTCCTGGATCCAAACAGCTACTGTCCCGGAGGAAAGCAGACTAGGGGTTGGGGAGAGAGTAAGGAGTGGTAGAAGTGGTGGCAGAGGGCATCTTGCATGTCTCATTTAAAGGAGGCCATCAAGACTGGCTCTAGCAGATTGAGGCCCGGAGGCGAGGTGGCCCAGTATGCCCAGGTCTTCCACATTTTGCCCTCCCACAACAAGGCAAAAATCCCTAAGTAAAATCTCCAGACTCTTAAATGTTGGCAACAAATTCCAAATGTTATACATAGCAGCATGCAATAAAACCTGGCTAGCCCAAACCTGGCTGCAGGCAGTGGGTTTTGACCTGGGCTCTAGGTGATTCATTCACCCATTTATTCACTTCTTTACTTACTCACGCCAGTCATTCATTCAGCAACCATTTAGGGAATGAATGGAGCTGTGAGTCACGCCCTGGGTGGGGTGCAAAGGGGTTCTGGAAACGGCTGCTCAAGTCCATGTGTTCTGGGTGGCGTCTTCATCCCAGAGCCACCCTTCAACGAGAAGCCCTGAAGAAGCGGTGCATTGTTCCTCCTGCTTCTATACATGCTCCTTTGCACTATTGTGTGTGATTAGGCGCCTTTGTCAGGCACCCTTCAGGATACCACTTAATAAAGCCAGGAGCTGGAGGAAATTGCTAAATACGCTGAATAGCTTTTTCACGGTTGACTTCCCACCTTTCTGCTATTAAATACTATGCACATAACCTTTCATACTTTTTTTGCTGTGTCTGCCTCTTGCTCACAGTAAATAGCAAATAGCCTTGGAGCATCGTAATTTGTAAGTTCAAATTTGTCACTGTGTCATAGAATCTCAAACTCAATTGTAAAGCAAACTATGGGCGGCAAGGCAAGAAGTAATCATTTGAAACACAAACAAATGAACGAACAGGTGAAGCAGCCCCGTCCAATTATTTAGCTACAGAGCAACTCGACCCAGCCCATTATTTTTCCTCCTATCCTTTTGGGGTAAGAATGAAGAAGTGAAGCCAGGATGAGTCAGAGACATGGAAGGAAATTTGAAAAGTAAAAAAAAGCCACCTAAGGAGAACAGTTTCTGGAAATGGTTGGTAGCAAAATGGGCCAGGTGGTTGGTGGAGATAATGTCAAACCAGGGGCCAGCGAGGCGATGAGAGAGCAGGGAATGTAAACGAAAGTGGAGGAATGGCAGATGGCCTCTGTGCCCACTGTGTTTGTACTGGGCGCTTTGAGGTAACTGCCCATCAAACAGCAACGCCCCCCGAAATTAAAACCAGATGTCAGAGACTTCAAAGGGAAGGAGGCTGGGTAGAGGGTGACGTGCCTCAACTCTGATCTTCCAAGGAATGGCTAGGCAGGGCTTTGAAATGAGAAACCTGTGGCTGACCATTACCAGTGTGATCTGGGGCAGGTTAGAGTAGCGGGGAGCAAGAAAGGGAAGAGGTCATTAGCAACTGTCCAGCCGGTCATAAAGCAGGGCCAGACGGGGAGAGCATGGCACAGAAGGGCAAAGGACAGGAGGGAAGTAGGAGTTGGCCCCCTACTAGCTGAGTGACCTCTGGCAAGTGGCTTCCTCTCTCTGGGGCTCAATTTCCCTGCCTGTGAAAGAGGAGTTGGTCTAGATCTGTGATTCTTTTTCAAACCATAGGTCATACTCATCAGTAGGCTGTGGAATCAATTTAATGGGTCATGACTAGCATTTTAAAAATATGGGCTACAATATTTCAGAGTCACTTTGGGAACCTTTTGTTTCAGTTACATTTAAATATTACAACAGGTTTGCTAGGTGCCAGGCAGCAGTCTAAGTATTTCATATCCATGATTTTATTTAATCCTCATAACAATCTAAGGGGGTGTAGATTGACTATTGTCATGCCCATTTTTCAGCTACAATAACCAAGGCATCGAGAAACTCAGCAACTTGTCCGAGGTTATGCAGCCAGCAATGGGCAGAGGCAGGACTTCAACATGACAATCTGTCTCCAGAGTCCACGTACTTAACCATACCAGTACACTATACCCCAGATGCACACATGTGTGGGGGCTTGTGAATGAAGTGCGTTGTGATACAGATTTATTTTAAATTGTGAATCATGGTCAAAAATATTTGAAAGCCGCTGGTCTAGAAACTCCTGGATCCCCAATATTGCTAACCAGCTGATTCTAAAGTGGCCATAAATAAGCCAGCTTGAATTGGAGGGGAGGTTTTCAGTGACGGGACAGGTGACACACATTTAGTGGGCTGCAGGGAGCCTCAGCCTCCTTACTAAGATGTGTTTGTTGGGGCTGCCTTCAATTCAAAGGTGAGAGAGGCTAATTTGGGCTGGTTCCCAGCCTGCGTGCCTCGACAGGCTCCTCTGCACCAGTGTAGCCAGTACATAGGCAGCATTTTTCTCCTTGGGAGCCAAAGCCCTTCTCCAACATGCTGTTATTAATCCTTCATGCTATCCTGCTGGGGGAGCTGGTGACAGGTATGGCATAGACAGGAAAATGTGGATACCTGGGGCCCTGGGGGACACAGGCAGGACAGCTTGGCCTGTTGGCTGCTTCTGCTGGCACTGGGCTTGGGCCCTGAGCCCCCATTGGCTTTCACAAGCTCCTTTGGCAGGCAGTGAGTGAGCACCGGGTGAGATCTAGTGCCAGCTCTGCCAAGGGAGGAGGGCCGGTGCCCACAGGAAAGGTGGGGCCTGACTCAGAAGGGTAGGGCCCTCCCTCAGAAACAAGGAGGGGTGGGCACTCCCGCAGGCCTGTGCCACCTGGCGGGGGCAGGAATGAGCAAGACCCCTGCCACACACTGGGAAGAAGCCTTGTTCCCATCAGCTCCTCTGCAACAGGGTTCCTCCTGAGCAAATAAATGCCTTTTACAGATGTGGCTTCAAAATGAAAATGAAGTCTCTTAGCCACTGACATCTGGAAGCCAGATTCAGACATAAACCAATTACTTTATTATCATGAGGGGTTTTTTTCTTCCCTAAATCAACAGCCACAGCCCTCTGGCCTGAAGAGTCAGGGTCTAATTGAATTTGGGTGGGTGGTGTGTGGTTATGATTTGTTTTTGAGCGACCCTGGTCATCCAGTTCTGGAGAACTGAAATGATCCTTTAAAAAAGACAAAGCACATCACTTGAGAAATTGTCCCAAGTCCAGAAGCTGTAGTACCCATGGTCTGAGGCAGGAGAACACGAGAGGGGCTGAGGTGGACAGGGGTTTGCAGGGTTTCCAGCTGACAGGGCCTCAGCAGGGATGGCTGCCGCCTCCACCACCCTCCCAGGGCATCCCGGGATGCCAAGGTCACGAGACCATGTGAGTGAGACCTGGAGAGGAAAGCAGAGCCTTACCTGTCCAGTCACAGCCCAGCACCTCCAGCCGCATTCCGATCCCTGCCGGCGACCACCTTTCTGGATACACCCGCACATACTGTGCTGGAACGGGGTCGAACCTTCGGATGTCAGGGGTGTCGTAGTGCATGTTCCCTTCGAACAGCTGCAGGGAGACGGCCACTCAGCCCTTCCTGTGTGAGACTCCTCCCCCCTTGCCCTCCCCCCTTTCCTTCCCCTTCTCCTCCCCGCCCCTCATCCAACCGGGAAGGCAGCTGCATGGTTGATTTATGGTTACTGGGACATTATGATCCGTGGGAGCTTTATCTTCAGACCTAGGTTTTTATTCATTTGGAAGGTGGTTAGGGACCCCAAATTATGGTAAATAGGGAGCAGATAAAAGTGGCAGTTGCCAGGTTATATCTTTTATCCCAGGACTGAAACTGAGGACTCGGAGGAGAATTAGGCTTCAAATGCAGTTTAAGCTGAACATGGCCAGAGAGAAGAGAAGGCAATTTAGACCATTCTGAATTCCTCGGTTTACTGAAGTCTAGATTTAGAAAGTCTCAGTTGAAAGATAGTTCCCAGTCCACTGAGAGCCTGAAGGGAAAATGACCACCCTCTTTCTAGGCTAATGAAAAAGTCCTGTGGCCACACATTAATAGTTAGAGGCTGTTTTCCAAACCCTTGTTTACGGGAAGCAAGTTTGTCAAAAGCCCCAGTACAGAAAACTGATGGCGGTGGAGCTGCCCTGGTGGAAGCCAGTGGGGACCCAACACCTTGGAGCCACTCGTTTGGGGAAAGGGGGTGGCTAGGGCTGTGGCTGATTAGCCTGCAAGAATGCTGCAGGACCACCCTATTTTGCAGGATGCCCCAGGACCACAATTGCAAAAGGGGGCACTGTCTCAGGGAGGGCTGTGAGCCTGGCAAAGATCACTTCCTTTCCCAAGAAGAGCCAGGATCAGCGCTCCCTGGGGAAGCCTATGGTTCAACTTCTGACCCATCCACTGTGGGTTCCAGTTACAAGCCCTGAGACTTTCCAAGCTTCTGGAATTGTGAGCAGAGAGTTGCAATGCCTCCAACCCAGTCCTTGCCTCTGCGTTCAGAATAGAAACTGCTCAGCAAAGGTGGCTGACCAGAGACATGCAATACCCCCTTCATTTTTAGGGGCCCTGCTCTTCTGAGGAAAACAAGGGGTCACTTAGAAATGAGGATCAGAGGGCCTGGCTCACCAGGAGATTAGTCTGGAGAGGGACAGAGACATGATGATCCCTTCCCTTCTTGGGGCTCCTCATGTCCTGTGTCGGAGGCTTACCTTCACTCCTCTGATGGCAGAGGATGGGCTGTACTGGTCTAAGCTTTTCCCCAGCCTCAGTATGAGAGGCAGGAAAGATCTAAGCAGTCAAGACTAGGAAAATACAAAGGGGCACAGCAACTTTCAGAAAAACACAGTTATTTTTGGAAGAAAACCCCTAGTTTCTATAGTTTGGCCTCCAAAAACCACATCCCCTTTGGATGTCTGGCCAATTTCAAGGAAACTTTATCTGAAAGAAGGTATAAAGGGCGTTGAACTTTATAATAAGTCAGTGTTGAGCAGTGGTTAGATCTTTGGGATTTGGAGTCAGACTTATGGTTTCTGAATCATGGCTCTACCACAGGTAAACAGTGTGACCCTGGGCACGATACAAAGCCTCAGTTTTATCATCTTTAAAATGGGAGCGACTAAGGCATCTACCTTGTAGAGATGTAGCAGGGATTAAAAGAGAGTCTAAATAAGACATTTAGCATAATGCCTGGCACAAAGTAATCTCTCAACTGCCATTTGTTTTATTGGATTGCAGGGGTTTGGTGATAGCTATCAAGCTGGGAAATCAGCACCCCAATTCCCTGCACCCCACTTAGCTTCCCTTTGTGAGGTAAGCTTACAGAGGCCTGCAGGAACAGCCTACCTTTGGCTGCTGCGTCCTGGGGTCCTGGATGTATTCCCAGTCCTTGCCGTTGAGGCTGTAGGAGACTTTGAACTTGCGCACAAATGCCCTGGCTTCCACTGCGGTGATGCTGTCTCCTCCGCGGGCTCCCTGGATGATGATGCCTTTCACCGTCTTGGGTACTCCCAGGTCCACCTGAAGCCACTCCTCACCTGGCTGGGCCTGAGGGATCCGAGGGAACCAGCCCGAGCGGCTGCTGACCAGGCGGGCCACGCTGGGGCTCCACAGGTACTCGCGGGTGGAGGAAGCGGAGATCTGGGAATCTGCGATGAGGCCTGAGAGCATCCCCAGCATGTTGGAGCAGGGGGCATCTGTGGAGAGGGGAGGAAGATATAGGAGGTCATGGCCTACACCCCACTAACTGGGACACCCCCATTACTAGGGAGCTGCAGGAGAACCCAACTATCAAATACTTTACATCAACACTGATTTCTTTGTGTTTTGAGGTTGTATAGACTGTGGTTAAGAGCTTGGACTTGGAGCCAGACTCCCTGGCTTCATGCTCACACTGCCACTTACTAGCTGGATGACCTTGGGCAAATTATTTAATTGCTCTGTGCCTCAGTTTCCCTAGGTCTAAAGGGGAGCTAATAGCAGTGCCTGCCTCTGGGGGTTGTTGGGACTATTCTGTTAGTTACTATAGAACTGCTCCTGAAACAGTGCCTGGCGTATCTAAGTATCTAGTGGCTGTTAGCTGTTCATGCTTACAGCTATAACCAAGGATGCTCAGAATGAGTGTCTGCATATCCTTGTGGATGTCACCAGTCCCCACTAGCCCTCCAGGGAGGGTGCGCGCAGGGGAGCTCAGCTGAGCATTTAATTATTTCCTGGGTGATTGTTTGGTCAACTAGATGGAAACCTTTCTGGAGTCATTACTTCCACATGTGTTCTCATAGCTCTTTACTACTGTGGACCCTCCCCACATGCTGTTCCCACTAACCTAAATGCTCTTCCCCTCAGTCCTCACCAGACTAACCTTTACTCACCCCCAAGCTTAAATGTCACATCCTCAGAAAGTCTGTCCCCAAACTTTCAATGCACAGTCAATTAGGTCCCTTTGGTCACTCTTTCCCAGCACACCCTGTTCTTTTCCTTCATATACACATCTTGGTTCACAATTATCCAGTGCTTGCATGTGTTTATCATCTATTTTTAACCCACTAGCCTGAATGTTCAACAATGTCAGACACCTCATCTATTTTGTTCACTTCTTTACCTCCAGTTCCCAATGTGGGGCTTTGCACACAGTATTTGTGGAATAAATGAGTGAGTGGAGAATGTATGACTAAGTGATGTTGGGCAAGGCAGGGTCTATAGAAGTGTGCATTAAATACTTGCAAACCGAGCTATAGATAAGAAAGATCCTCCAGGTTGTCTCATTCAAATTACGTCTTAGGCTCTCTTCCTCTTTCAGCCCCTGCACACAGTGTGATTGTTCACTGGTTGGCTCNTTTACATCAACACTGATTTCTTTGTGTTTTGAGGTTGTATAGACTGTGGTTAAGAGCTTGGGCTTGGAGCCAGACTCCCTGGCTTCATGCTCACACTGCCACTTACTAGCTGGATGACCTTGGGCAAATTATTTAATTGCTCTGTGCCTCAGTTTCCCTAGGTCTAAAGGGGAGCTAATAGCAGTGCCTGCCTCTGGGGGTTGTTGGGACTATTCTGTTAGTTACTATAGAACTGCTCCTGAAACAGTGCCTGGCGTATCTAAGTATCTAGTGGCTGTTAGCTGTTCATGCTTACGGCTATAACCAAGGATGCTCAGAATGAGTGTCTGCATATCCTTGTGGATGTCACCAGTCCCCACTAGCCCTCCAGGGAGGGTGCATGCACGGGAGCTCAGCTGAGCATTTAATTATTTCCTGGGTGATTGTTTGGTCAACTAGATGGAAACCTTTCTGGGGTCATTACTTCCACATGTGTTCTCATAGCTCTTTACTACTGTGGACCCTCCCCACATGCTGTTCCCACTAACCTAAATGCTCTTCCCCTCAGTCCTCACCAGACTAACCTTTACTCACCCCCAAGCTTAAATGTCACATCCTCAGAAAGTCTGTCCCCAAACTTTCAATGCACAGTAAATTAGGTCCCTTCGGTCACTCTTTCTCAGCGCACCCTGTTCTTTTCCTTCATATACACATCTTGATTTACAATTATCCAGTGCTTGCATGTGTTTATCAACTATTTTTAACCCGCTAGCCTGAACGTTCAACAATGTCAGACACCTCATCTATTTTGTTCACCTCTTTACCTCCAGCTCCCAATGTGAGCTTTGGAGTGGAGAATGTATGACTAAGTGATGTTGGGCAAGGCAGGGTCTATAGAAGTGTGCATTAAATACTTGCAAACTGAGCTATAGATAAGAAAGATCCTCCAGGTTGTCTCATTCAAATTATGTCTTAGGCTCTCTTCCTCTTTCAGCCCCTGCACACAGTGTGATTGTTCACTGGTTGGCTC